GTCAGACCTGGGTCCGATCCAGCAATCAAATTAAACAATATACGAAACACACTGGGTATAAATATGATCATGCTGTCTGCCCTGCAGTATTTTATTGGGTCCACAAAGATTTAACGATCTTCACTAGGATAAATGCAGTTTTAAATTGAACGAATTGTGGCATTACGAATTACTGTTTGATAATTAAAATAGACCGAGATGGTGAACACCAGGATCAAACAGGTGGCCCTTAGACAACACGCTGGCGACTGAAATCAAGGGTATTTAAGAGGTAAAACACATTAGATTCGGAACCGAATAAGAAATCACTGCTCCGTCTACGGTTGAAATCTCGGGCTTGCTGCCAAAAAGCAAGCAATTGCTACGGACTCTGATCGATGGACAGCGCTCTCAGCTCACTCGAGGAGTCTTTTAGCAGTCAATAAATAGATCATCAATAGACGTTCCCTACAAATGAGTCCAAGAGACATTACCTAGTCTGCTCTACAGAGACAGCAATTTTAGTCATTCGAAAGTAACCTGCTTATACGCGACTGGGAACGATTGTATCGAATAAGTTAGATGTATATATTAGTTATTAAATTCTCATTATATTTTTCAAGAGTTCGCTATGGATATTGTTGTCGATATTATTGCTTTATTTTTCGAGTATGTATGAGCCTTGGTTTAATAAATTAGAAGTCCTCCCTTTGAAAGAAAGCAGATACATTAACAAATATTCTCTATAAATCAACTACTTCTCGGGGGTTTGCAAAGTAGGATGCGCCGATCTGTTGTTAAATTTGAACCGTTACTTCGACAGACAGGCAGAGTTATTACTGTAATACGGAGTCACACGCTTGGCTGAAGTGCGATGACCTCTGATTAAAACCCCCCCTTGTGCTCCGCTAAGCGAAGACCAATGCGGATCAACACTGACCTCTAGCGTACGACTTGGGAACGTTGAACATTTATTGTCTGAGTATTTCATCAGGAAACAGTCGAAATATGGTTCATTCACTCCCTCTTTCCTTTGTCTGCGTATTTTACATTCACGGCGCGACGCTACAGTAAAAGTTACATGGCTAGCATTTGACACATCTTGGCAGGTTGCGTTTCCGCTGCAGTATTTGGAGCACAGAGAAATGGGTTTGCACCGTGCCAAAACGTACGTGGCGACAGCCTGTTTTTCGTCCTTACACGGCCTTTATAATGACTCCGCCCGCCGATCCGCGAAGTTAATGACACCGAGCAGTTCTGGCGAGCCTTTTTTTGATGCAATGAGGCGCGACAGCCGTGAAGCGGTGGAAATCGGCGAGTGGGATGCAGCAATTAACCCCTTTCACAGCGCGAATTGAAACATAATTGAGTGCGGTTCGCGAGGCGAGCTCGTGGAAAAAAATGACCAGCTGTAAATTTCGGTGAGCATTTAAAACCGACTGGTATGTGAAAGATTTCAAACAATTGCATGGTCTCCTATTGTGCCAGTCTTCGGCACGAAGGATCATTAACTGTACAGAGTAAAAATTGCCACTCGATTTATTTGGGGAAGCCTAATCTTATAACATCTTAAATAGGTCATCTATTGACTCGACACGTCGCTGTCAGTGTATGTATGAATAATCCCACTGGGCCTCATTTAGAGGGTTTAGTGCTAGACTCAGATTAGTAACAGGTTCAAATTCTGGATTTGACAGACTACTAAAACACTGCGAATGAAGAAAATTAATTTAAGATTCTCATCTTGTACCCGCTAGTTCTTGGCTTTAGGACAGTTGATGATTACCCTGGCCAAATTCCTCAGACTCCCCAGGGATGATCAGACTTCATCAGCCTGATTATATAATTAAACGTTCAGGATCACATAAAAAATGTGTGTGGAGTACTGACTTTAAAAGGTGCACTCCAAAAGGCAGAGGGTATTTTTAATATAGGAAAACAGAACGGTTTGTCTTTATTATAGAACTGCATTAAAATAGTTTTACTTTTGGTCATATAAAGTTTAAAAATATATAGTCATATAAAACAAAGCTGTAAATTTGACACCGCTAAAACAAGCTGCATAAATACTCTCGCGTTACGGGGCTGCTTTCTCTAACAGGAATGTCCTATTAGAACAATTTGTTAGCCCTTTATATTCTTCCTTATTACAAAGAAAATTAATCACGACACCAAAAGCACAGTATGTGACCTAGTAAACCTAAGTCTGTGTGGGTGGAGCTGTGCTGCAGTATTTCATCACTTAAAACGTTCATCTATACAAATAGGCAAAGAAATGGTATGTTCTTTTGGATAATAGTTTCAAGTAAGCAAATAAATGTATATACTTGTTTCACTTTTGTACTGCTGAATGTTTTTGGTGACAACCTCAGGTCCTTAAGCACCTCCTACATGTACCAGTCAGTTACAGACATTTGATGCCTGTCAGGGTGTTTTTGGGGTGGGTGGGTACAGCGGGCCAGATATCAGTGCTGGACGGCATCTTCTGGCATGCATGGGGAACAAGAAGAAACGTGTTGGGCGCAATCGGCGCCCCACCTTGAGATTCACCTCAGCCCACCCATACTCTGCCGAAGCATCCAGCATAACTCACCCGGTGACTGATCGGCCCCATGCCTGCTGTATTTCTCTGCCGTCACGGTACAGCACCCAGGGGGAGTGTTAAGTGTGAGTCAGTCACTGACTGACTGACACTGAATGTTTTGTAGAGATGTGATAAAAATACTCAGGCCTTGGATTGTGAAGGAAATCTTTAGGTCCCTTGTATATACATATACGACATAGCTCACTCTTTTTGTCCAAAGCAACTTGGTATTGTAGGCGTATAAAGGGATATATATATATATATATATATATATATATATATATATATATATATATATATATATATATATATAT